GCCATAGCATATATATATGTAACTATTTTAAATTATTAATAAAGATATAAGCAAGGCCTCATCTTAATACCAAAAAATAAAAAATAAAAAATATAACAAAAACAAATAATTTTATTTTAAAAAATTTATATTAATCATAAATAAAAATATAGAATATATAACTATAATTTTTTATAACTTAAATATTGTGTCTACAAACAACTTATCTATTTAAGATTAATATTAAATTTGTATATAATCATATTATTTATTTTGTAAAGTTTTTTAGTTTTAATATATTTTATAATAAATATATTAAATTTTTTAAAAATAAATATTTATTATCACCTTTCTACATATTTATAATAATAGTCTTTATTTGTACACAAACAATAAGAAAAAGCTTATAAAATTAATACAAAAAATTTAACTATAATTATGTTTTATATTTGTTTAAATAATATTAAAATAAATTTCTTAGAAAACAAAATAATATAATAATATTTTAATGTTTTAAACAAAAAACTAATAATTATAATAGTTTAAAAAAAAGTTATATTATATTTTAAAAATATAATTTATTATCAAGAAAAATCTATAAATTTTGTATTGTTATTAATTTAATAAGTCATATTTATAAAAAAATTTATTAGATAAGTAAGTTCTGTTATATTATTGTATTTGTTTTCTTTATATAAAATTGAGAATTCTTGATTTAATGTTAAAACTAAAAATTCTTGATTAGATAATGAACCAAAGCAATTTAAAATTGTAAATTCAGTATGACTTATTCTGGTTGATTTAAAACCAACAATTTTGGTTGATTTAAAACTGACAATTTTGGTTGATTTAAAACTGACAATTTTGGTTTTTTAAAGCTAAAGATTCTTGATTTAATACTGATAATTCTGATGTTAAAGAATCAAATTGATCCAATACAAACTGATTATTATTATCAAAAAAATTGTTAGGTAATTTTTTCTCCTTTATAATATTCTGTTAATACAAATCTTTTAGTAATGAAAAATTTTTAATTGGATCCTGTCTAAATACAAGTGAATATAATGATTTTTCAGTTGTATGAACTGTTTGTATATTCATTGCATCTAAATATACAATAAAAAAATTTTTTATGTATTATTATATATATTATTTAAATTAATTACTGTATATGTACTTATATATAATTAATGGTAACTCTTTGGTCCAATTATTAGTTTTATTATCCTCTATTCATTTTTTAAGCTTGGTTTGCAAAATTCCATTTGCCCTTTCAATCATTTCTTGTGATTCTGGATGTCTTGAATATTCATTAATAATATGCACTCTAGGCCAAAGAGATAACAATTCTGCAATTAAATCTGCAGTAAACTCTTTCCCATTATCTGATTGCAAGATAGTTAGAATCCCAAATATAATAAAAATATCATAAAGAAATACAGTCACTTCAGAAGCACTTTTACTTATAAGGTCCAGGCTCAAGAAAATTTAGTAAAGTGATCATGGATGTAACAAATATATTTGTATTCCTTAACAGATTGGAATGTCAACCCAACCAAATCAACTTGTACATGAGAAAGAAAACTTGATACTACAATCAGTTTTGTAACAAGTGAATTAGAAAAAGATTGATGTATAGCACATGTTTTACAGACACCACAATATTCCTTAACAAATGATTGAGGAATGTAATCATATTGTTGTCTAATCTAAAAAAAATAAATAAATAAAAATAAAAATCATTGTTATAATTGTGTTTATTGTAATAATTAAAAAAAATTTTGTTCAATAAATTTACTTACAACATCCTACATTTTCGATGCCCTAACATGTTTTAAAACACATGAATCTTACATAATATGTCATAAAGATGATTGAAGGGACATATAGTACGTATCAATTCTGTCCCATTTTCGTTTTTAGAAATAGCAATGATTTGAGTGTTTGGATTTGTTTCAGTTCCCAACTCCCGCAACTGAAAGAATTCTTAATCCAGTATTGATCTTTTGGAGTTTCCAAACTCGGATTAGCAGGTTCACGAAGTACTGTAATTATAAGATCATAGTCTGTTTGTGAAATAAAAGTTTTGCGACGCCGTGCAAGTGATTTTTTATCAAGATATTTATCGATTAGTTCATTAAAAACTTGTCTCGAAATAAAGGGGTATTCTTCTTGCATTGACATTTTGAATCGATAACTTTTGCAAAACACGATTATTAATATGCAATTTAATATGATTACTAATATACGATTAATTAAATAATTATCATTTAATATTTTTAAAGATCCGAAATCAACTTGAGTTGATTCGGGATTCGAAATCCACTTAAGTGGATTCCGAATCCACAGAATCCCGAATCCACCTACAACATATACATTTACACCATTCGACTCATTACATATTTCGTTATCTATTTGCATCTCTTTTACTAAGTACAAGTGCTCTTCAAAAGCTATGCGACATTAGTCGTGGCATACTATGTTGAAATCCAATCAGAATACTATTTAATTAAAAAATTTTGTTGAAAAATTTTAAAATAACATCTTTTTGATTCTAATCATAATTTATAAAATGAACTCTTTTCCTTGTGTTTTCGATCTTTTTTTACGATTTTTTTATGATCTTGATATTACATTCCTGTTGAATAATTAATTTGTGATCTTGACTTTGTTCTGCCTTGGCTAATCGACTTTTGACTAATCGACTTATTAACTTTGTATCAATCTCTTTACTGATATAAGTCTCTTTACTGTTATAAGTAGAATTTGAAATTTTTCGTAATTTATTAGTGAATTTATCAGCGTCAAGAATTGCCTTTTGATTTCATTGTCATTCGAATTTTCCACGCATTTATTCCACTTATTAATCGTTTTCCAAAGTTCAAAAGCTTTGGGCCGTTTTGTGGATCTGAATTCATGCATTGTCTTGACAACTCAACATAGCAATTAGGAGTTTCAGAAGCAAATTCTAGCTGCAATTCACCGCAAATTATTTTAATTGCAAGTTCTTCATTAAATTGTTCTCCATCAAAAGGTCTTTGCCCAGTTGACACTTCTGTCATGATGACCCCAAAGCTATAAATATCCGCGGCTTGTGTAAGCTTTTGATTTGACAAAACCTCTGGAGCAATATAAGGCATGACACCATAAATACTACCTTTTGAATTATTTTCTTCATTCTTAATGGATAATCCTAGGTCTGATACATAAGATCTTACTTCACTATCATAACTGCTTTGCAAAATATTACCACTATGAAGGTCTGCATGGATGTACCCTGCTCGGTGAATCTGTTCTAAATCGTAAAGTACGTATAAAAGCAGTTGTAATTTGTTCTTCCACTCAAGCGTTCTAAATTTTTTTGCTAAATAATCATGAAGACTTCCATTATTGGCATATTGAAATACCATTAGATATTCATTTGTTTCAGGGTTTTGAGTCAGTCCATATATTTTAAGACCGCTTGCAATTAATTTGCAACGCATATGGTTTTTAAACTTGAAATTTAAATAGATGCATTAGCTTAATAAATTATACTCAAATTAATAAAATAAAGTTCTAACTTACTTCTTTTAAAAATCCTAGAGGGTTTTCCCTAGAACCAGGCAAAGTCTTGAGTGCAACAATGCCTGATTTTTCGTGTGTCCGTACATGGCTCTCATCGGATTTGATATCGATTCTTTGTATTCTATCTAGCCAGATCGCTGAAAATATAGTACCAAATCCTCCTTTGCCGATTATTTTAATATTATCTAAATTATTAAACGGAATCCATTCAATCACCTTCTCATAAGTAACGGTTTTAATTTGAGATTCTTTAATGCAATCATCAATATCCTTGTTTCCAGATGTCCATCTTATAGTTTCTACGGGATCACATGTAAAACACCAGCTTTTTGAAGTATTATATTGTTTATAATTTGTACATTTTCCGTAGGACTTATGCCGTATTTGATTAGAAAAATACAGACGGGATTCTTTAAGTAAATAAGAAGTATGTGAAAAATCATGATGAAAATATTTATTGAAATAAAATTGAAAAAATTCATCATCATCATTGTCTATGAAACGATAATTATCAGGGAAAACATCTTTTCTGAACCAATATTTGGCCTTTTCAATATTTTCTTCCACACCAATTCCAAATGCGTAACAAAGACTAGCTTTGAATACCCCATTAACACTACCCATTTCCGCAGATTTTTGATAATAAATGAATGCTTTTTGGTGATTCTTTTCGACTCCAATGCCATTTTGATAAAAACAACCAATATTAAATGCACCATCTACATGCCCTATCTCGGCAGATTTCTTATAATAAATGAATGCCTCATAATCACTTTTTTCAACTCCAATGCCATATTGATAATTATATCCAATATTATATATAAAATCTGCAATTTTTTGACAAAAAATTTTGAAATTTTTTTGTAAATAGCGAAATAGTATATAGTGTAAAAGGCAAATTGGACGGTATGTTAATGTTTCATGTGTATTGTTTTTAGGAACAATATGTAAGGTTATGCTAAAGTTTATAAGTTATCTGTAACAGAATTTATTCTTGATATTAGACCTTTATTTATGCATAAATACCATTTATCTGGTTTTTCTTTGAATTTTATAGCCTTAGGTTGTTGGGAAACTTTGGTATCACAACATTGAATTGTCATTTTTACAATTAGTTCTGACATGTAAATGCCACAAGGTGAAAATTTGGAATTCTTTATTTTCGAAAATTTCATTTTCAGAAAAAACCGTTTCTGAAAATGCGATTTTGGAAAATCAACAATATCGGGTTTTCGCTTTGTAACTTTTGTATACTTTGGAAGTTCTGGTCTTACTGCATTACAATCTCTATTCTTTAAATAGGCAAAACAATACTGGGATAGACCTTTTGTTATCTTGTATAAGAGTATGCTAAACGAGTGCATAACTGCCTCTTGTCCGTATTTTTTGACACATGAAACTTCTGGTGCAGTATAGAATAAGTCATCGATGTTATTCATTAACAAATAAGCCGAAATTTTGGCTTTTTCTTCATGAATTAAAGCTTCCTGCAAAATATTACATTATGAATAAATTTAATAATGTTATTATTTGTTATAATCGATGTCAGGATATAATATTATCGCGTGCCGCTTCGCAACACTTGAAGCAGGTTAAATTTATCGACTGATAACACTCATTATAATCATGATTATAGGTGCAGAAATATTGACGTCACTGGGTTATATCTCATTGTAAAGACATATTGAGACGTCTTTACAATGGGATATAACTCAATGCCATAAATATTCCTATCCTATAATCTCGATCAAACTTTCGTTTACTTTATTCTCTCTCACTTTTTTTTTTTACTCACATTTTTTTTTTCAAAAACTTTCATTGACAAAATCTGGATTTCAGTCATGCTTCGTAAGATGAAAAGAAATATAATGCAGTGTTTCTGAATAATAGATCAGTTCATAGATCAGTTATTGAAGAGCTTAAAAATATGATTAAAAAAGTAAGACAATTCAGATTAGAAAGTTGAGCCTATTCGATTCCTTTAAGTACAAAAATTCTTTTTACATAACTCTTGCTATCTTGTAAAATTCTCACTTTTCTGAGATGCATGGAAACTTCTAACGATCTCAAATTTTTTTAAACATTACGGCTCTTTGACGTAATGAGTAATTATAATCATCCGATAACAGTGTTGACCTATTGACTATTGACCAATTATAGGTTATGTAGGGTTGAGTTACACACATGTAAGTTTCAGTTCATGTATTGTAACTCGTAAATCTCCATGCATGGTGTGACAGGACTCCGAACAATGCAAATAGACAAAGAAAGGTATATAGAATATATATCGAGCATTGATGTCTGTAGCAGGTATAAAAAAAAAAACAAATTAATTCCTGAAAAAGGCAAGGTTTTGATCTAGACTTTACAGTATTCAAATAACGTTTTTTTATGTACAATTTTATTTTTACAAAATAGCTGAACGGAGTACGAAGTACGTAGTGTATTTTTTATTGGGTTGATGAAATGATAATCACTGATCATCGCAGTTGAGTTAAAATACTATATATGGAATCGTAATTTGATCTATAATTTCTGGTATGAAGTCAGTGTGCACTATGCTGATTATTTATGAACGTGCTAATTACGTTCTGGCAAGAGTGTGTAAATTTTTGAATTGTTTGTTATTTACCAGGAACGGAGTTTGTACAATGTACAACATAGTGTATACAACCCCCCTAGCATGACCACCAAAATCAGTTACATCGCTGTTTAATATCTGATATGATCTGATCTCGTAACCCAGCAGGTCAATGGCATTTTTTTTACATTATATATTAATATTATCGTTATAAAACTTAATTAAATTTTAAATATTATAATTAAAATTTTTATTGTGTTTAAAAAAGAAAAAGCCAAGTTTAT